AAAGCTGAAGTAGATGCGAAAATCGCTAAAAACGAAAAACGCCTGCCCGCTGCCCAAGCAGTGCTTTGACGACAACGGTCTTTGAATGGGACATCGCTGACATCATGGCAGCGGTTTTTTCCAGCAGGCGAAGACGGGTGACGGAAACAAATTAAGACAAGCATGTTACCGCAACATGACATAACGGATCAATGTAGAAACGAACGTGCCATGTAATGAAGAGCATATGCCAATAAGTTCCTGTCGTTGGATTCCAACCGCGCATACTGCGTAAAAAGGCATCACGGGCACGCTGGTTAGCAAATGCTTCGAACTGAGCTCAGGTGACAGTTGTGTGCAAAAGGAACTGGCCATCCAAAGAGCTCTCAGAAACAATGGTTCTCTGAAACAGTAGTGACTCTACACAGCTAATAGAGGAAGCAACCAGAAACCAGCAAGAAAAGTAGTAGCGAGGAAAATTCTACAGCAGAAAAACAGAAATTCAACGCCAGCATTATCGTTCCATACGTCAAACGCCCAACCGAGGGCTTGGAATACGGCTGGCATTCAGGTAGCTCACAACGTTACTCAGCCAGCTGGTGCTGGTCAAAACCATCAACCAAAATCTACAAACCACATGGCTGAATCTACATCTTACCTTGCAAGTGCCTCTCGATTATATCGAAAAAACCGGCCATACCATAGACGAAAAGAAGAAGTAACAATATATATATAATCGAGAGGCACTTGCAAGGTAAGGTGTAGATTCAGCCTTGTAGTTTGTAGATTTTGGCTTGATGGTTTTGGCTTGCACCAGCTGGCTGAGTATAATAAAAATTTCATATAACAGGTTCATATCCACGACAATAAGCCCGACATATTTTAAAAGATACGATCTGCGGTCGTTTATAAGATGTTTACTGATATTACAAGAAACAAAAAGCAGTAAAAGGATATTTTTTTAAGCTTACCAGTATAAGGCAGAAGATCCAGCTGAATTCTGGAAAATCCCTCATCTTAGTGACGAACTGAGCCACTAATGCGTGCAGATGTCTGCACGCATTACGAAAGGTGAGTAACGATCCGAGATGAGGTGGCTCCATTCAGGTGAATGTCTCCGTTCTATACTTCATAACAGCCACAAGAATAGCCCTGAAAGATTGTCATTAGCTTCGGAAATGCAACAGGCAGCGGCAGCGATGAACTGGCAGACCTCGTGGAATTAGAGCAAATCTGTCTAGAAAAAGGAAGACCTGATTCGATTCGAAAATTCGCATCGGAGGTCTGTCAATACATCTGTCCTCACTAGGGAATTGAATGCTCTAAGACTGGAAGAGTGCGAAGTAAGATATAAACGACAGAAATGAGGTTAATTCGACGAACCGCCGCCATGTCGAGACTTTACAAGCTTCGGATCATCGCAGTCCCAAGTAGTCTTCTTTTTCTTCTTCTTCTTCTTCAA